GTGCATCCTGCAGGCTGGATGGAGACCACAGGGGGCACAAGGTGGAGACCCTGGATGAGGCCTGGAGCCATCTAAGAGTTCATCCATCCAGACCACATCTCCAACCCACTTCAGCCATACAACGCACACACCGCCAGGCTGGAGGACCAAATATTGGGGCATCAGAGCTGTTGGAGGCCGCAGACATACTAATGGATGTGAGCACAGCTGGCAATTATATATATATATCAGATGACAGGAAAACTGTATACTTCGCATTTGAGGATCGCCCAGAAACAGCAGAGAAATTTCAGTATTATCAGGTGATAAGCTGCCAGCTTTTCTTCTCGGGGCGGCATTACTGGGAAGTGGATGTTCAGTGGTCACGAAAGTGGACAGTTGGAATGTGTTACCCCAGTATAGACAGGAAAGGGCGCCAGTCAGTGATTGGATATAATAAGAAGTCCTGGGGCTTGGAAGGGTGGACATGGGCAAATAGTCAGTACTCAGTGGTACATGACAGTAAGGAGATCCAATTGCCCATCAATGTCTCCAGTAATAGAATTAGGATATATCTGGATTATGAGGCCGGGCGGATCTCCTTCTATGATCTGTGTGAGCCGATCCAACTTCTCCACACCTTCACCACCACCTTCACCGAGCCCCTCCATGCCGGGGTATGTCTATGGAAAGGACAGATAAGGGTATCTTGAAGGATTCCGATGTGACAAATCTGCCCATGGACTGGTGACACCACAGGGTGAAGAATCTGATTGGTGCAATACTTGGTCAAGGAAGCAGTGGGCACTCCTTACATTGGTGGCCAGTAGAAGTGGCCAAGATTTGTACTGACCTATTTATAAACCTATTTGTAAAGCTCTATTTGTGGGCTTCAGGGCCATCATCTTCATCCTAAATCTCACTTCAGTGCTCAGTGTGGGCACAACGTCTTCCAGAACTGTCTCTACCACATGCTGCATGCTTGTTCCAGGGCGTAACACTAGGTGATGTAGCCAGGATTGTCATGACGGCTCTGAAGCCTGCACCTCCATAGTGTATCTACAGTATAGTTAGAATGTGTTGGGTGGAGAGGTGAAGGATTGGGACCCAGGCTTGTACCACTATCCAGGGCTCCAGACAAACCTGACAAGGGTTCTAACCCTCCTCAACTCCATGAAAAACTAGCAAATGAGGTTTTGTCTAGACCAGGGGTAGGCAACCTGCGGCTCTCCAGCTGTTGCAGGACTACAAGTTCCATCATGCCTCGGCAAGTCATAGCTGTAACTGTCAGTTTTGTAATGTTGCAATGCCTCATGGGAAATGTAGTTCCACAACAATTAGAGCGCCGCAGGTTTCCTACCCCTGGCCTAGACACACATTATAATATCCACAATGATAATCCAGAAATTTCTGTCCTCACAGGTCCCTTTACATGACAAATCTGTGTATTTGTGTATCTATGATTGTTCCACCCCCTCACTGTGATTGGTTGTAATAACTGTCACTATGACTACAACCAGTGCTAGTCTTGCTGCCATTGGTTATGATGTACAGGGGGCGGGGATTGATATATTTCCATAATAAATGTGTAAATGACAAGCAGATGTCAGTGATGAGGATACTTCTGGCCATGTTGGGGGTGGGGTATTGTGGACAGGTGACGGGGGAATACAGTCTCAGGAAGTGGAAATCTTCGGCTCTGTATATGGGAATATTGATCAATGATTGGATATAGATAGAATGATGGAAGGGATTGGGCTATTTATTATATACCTGTATGGGAACCTGAAATGACAAGGGTGGCCTCATGCACAATTCCTGTCCAAGCACCCCTAGAAGTTGAGACAGGGCCTGATGGAGGTCCAGTACTTGTGACACCAGGTAGAAGGAAGCATTCTGAGATCTGAGATGGGGAAGGTCAGGGACATCATGGCCGGCCTAAACCTCAAATAAAAAAAAAATTAGTTATGCTCTTCTTGGAGACATCATCCATCCACCATGTCCTCAGCCACCACTGATATCAACCCATTCACTTACATGGACAGAAATATCTCCACTATCCAGGCCCCTACATGGACAGAAATATCTCCACTATCCCGGCCCCTACATGGACAGAAAGATCTCCACTATCCCTACCCCTACCTGTACATGGACAAAAAATATCTCCACTATCCCTACCCCTACCCGTACATGGACAGAAATATCTCCACTATCCCGGCCCGTACATGGACAGAAATATCTCCACTATCCCGACCCCTACCCGTACATGGACAGAAATATCTCCACTATCCCTACCCCTACCTGTACATGGACAAAAAATATCTCCACTATCCCGACCCCTACCCGTACATGGACAGAAATATCTCCACTATCCCGACCCCTACCCGTACATGGACAGAAATATCTCCACTATCCCTACCCCTACGTGTACATGGATAGAAATATCTCCACTATCCCGGCCCCCACCCGTACATGGACAGAAATATCTCCACTATCCCGGCCCCCACCCGTACATGGACAAAAAATATCTCCACTATCCCGGCCCGTACATGGACAGAAATATCTCCACTATCCCTACCCCTACCCGTACATGGACAGAAATATCTCTACTATCCCGGCCCGTACATGGACAAAAAATATCTCTACTATCCCGGCCCGTACATGGACAAAAAATATCTCTACTATCCCGGCCCCTACCTGTACATGGACAGAAATATCTCCACTATCCCGACCCCTACCCGTACATGGACAGAAATATCTCTACTATCCCGGCCCCTACCCGTACATGGACAGAAATATCTCCACTATCCCGGCCCCTACATGGACAGAAAGATCTCCACTATCCCTACCCCTACCTGTACATGGACAAAAAATATCTCCACTATCCCTACCCCTACCCGTACATGGACAGAAATATCTCCACTATCCCGGCCCGTACATGGACAGAAATATCTCCACTATCCCTACCCCTACCCGTACATGGACAGAAATATCTCCACTATCCCGACCCCTACCCGTACATGGACAGAAATATCTCCACTATCCCTACCCCTACGTGTACATGGATAGAAATATCTCCACTATCCCGGCCCCCACCCGTACATGGACAGAAATATCTCCACTATCCCGGCCCCCACCCGTACATGGACAAAAAATATCTCCACTATCCCGGCCCGTACATGGACAGAAATATCTCCACTATCCCTACCCCTACCCGTACATGGACAGAAATATCTCTACTATCCCGGCCCGTACATGGACAAAAAATATCTCTACTATCCCGGCCCGTACATGGACAAAAAATATCTCTACTATCCCGGCCCCTACCTGTACATGGACAGAAATATCTCCACTATCCCGACCCCTACCCGTACATGGACAGAAATATCTCTACTATCCCGGCCCCTACCCGTACATGGACAGAAATATCTCTACTATCCCGGCCCCTACCCGTACATGGACAGAAATATCTCCACTATCCTGGCCCCCACCTGTACATGGACAGAAATATCTCCACTATCCCGACCCCTACCTGTACATGGATAGAAATATCTCCACTATCCCGACCCCTACCCGTACATGGACAGAAATATCTCCACTATCCCGACCCCTACCAGTACATGGACAGAAATATCTCCACTATCCCGACCCCTACCCGTACATGGACAGAAATATCTCCACTATCCCTACCCGTACATGGACAGAAATATCTCCTTTATCCCGGCCCGTACATGGACAGAAATATCTCCACTATCCCTTCTCCTACCCGTACATGGACAGAAATATCTCCACTATCCCGACACCTACCCGTAATACATTCGATGACAGATCAGAGAGTAGTGCTGAGCCAAACTGCTCTAGGATCGGTTCATGCCGGATTCAGTGGACTTCAAAGAAGTTCAAATGCTGAACCTGAACCCCATTTAACCATTAGGAGCCGAACATGTCACGTTATGCCCATTTTCTAGGCTAGAGGCAAGAGAGAATCAAAAATATCACAGGGGACAACGGGGAAAATCTAGCAATGCAAACACTTTTTTTTTTTGTAATTCCATGCGGCAGGAAGCAATGATTATTTTACACTGACCTATACAAAGGAAAGAAGAGTTATAAATTGGCCGGCAACTGACATTTCCCTCAAGACCCAAAGGTCCACCAAAATATATAGCAGTCCCCTAAGGGTCCGTTATGTACTGTGGGGGACCTTTAGAGGGGTGTCGGTGCTGTTATAACTGTTTTCTTTCTTGGTTACAACCTGCAGCAAAATGCATACCAGACCCTTTGGGGGAGATTTACTAAAACTGGTTCACTCAGAATCTGGTGCAGCTTTTCACGGCAGCCAATCAGCTTCTAACCTCAGCTTGTTCAATGAAGCTTTGACAATAAAACCTGGAAGCTGATTGGTTTCTATACAGAGCTGCACCAGATTTTGCCCTCTTCAGGTTTTGTAAATAAACCACATTGAGTCTGGCATTGAATTTTAAGGGGGGCCTCGTTCAAAAAACAGTCGTCCCTCAGAAAATCCACACCAGATCTTTAAACAGATCTTTAATCTGAGTATGCAGGCCAAGAATGGGGGGGGCAGGGCTGCCTTAATGCAGGGGCACCCCTGGGCACTACCCAGAGGCCCCAGGTGCATGGGCACCCTATGATAATCTTGCATTACATCATACTTGCCCACTGTCCCACATTTGCCGGGACACTAAACTGTCCCAGGATGGACCAGGCAGCATTCCAGAATCCGCATGATGCCCTCCTGATCCCAGAATTGTGCCCTCCTGATCCCAGAATTGTGCCCTCCTGATCCCCTGCACTGTGCCCTCCTGATCCCAGAATTGTGCCCTCCTCATCCCAGATTTGTGTCCTCCTGATCCCAGTATTGTGCCCTCCTGATCCCAGATTTGTGCCCTCCTGTTCCCAGTATTGTGCCCTCCTGATCCCAGATTTGTGCCCTCCTGATCCCAGTATTGTGCCCTCCTGATCCCAGTATTGTGCCCTCCTGATCCCAGAATTGTGCCCTCCTGATCCCCCTGTACTCTGCCCTCCTGATCCCAGAATTGTGCCCTCCTGATCCCCCTGTACTGTGCCCTCCTGATCCCAGAATTGTGCCCTCCTGATCCCAGAATTGTGCCCTCCTGATCCCCCTGTACTCTGCCCTCCTGATCCCAGAATTGTGCCCTCCTGATCCCCCTGTACTGTGCCCTCCTGATCCCAGAATTGTGCCCTCCTGATCCCAGAATTGTGCCCTCCTGATCCCCCTGTACTGTGCCCTCCTGATCCCAGAATTGTGCCCTCCTGATCCCAGTATTGTGCCCTCCTGATCCCAGTATTGTGCCCTCCTGATCCCAGAATTGTGCCCTCCTGATCCCAGAATTGTGCCCTCCTGATCCCCCTGTACTGTGCCCTCCTGATCCCAGAATTGTGCCCTCCTGATCCCCCTGTACTGTGCCCTCCTGATCCCAGAATTGTGCCCTCCTGATCCCCCTGTACTGTGCCCTCCTGATCCCAGAATTGTGCCCTCCTGATCCCAGTATTGTGCCCTCCTGATCCCAGTATTGTGCCCTCCTGATCCCAGAATTGTGCCCTCCTGATCCCAGTATTGTGCCCTCCTGATCCCAGTATTGTGCCCTCCTGATCCCAGAATTGTGCCCTCCTGATCCCCCTGTACTCTGCCCTCCTGATCCCAGAATTGTGCCCTCCTGATCCCCCTGTACTGTGCCCTCCTGATCCCAGAATTGTGCCCTCCTGATCCCAGAATTGTGCCCTCCTGATCCCCCTGTACTGTGCCCTCCTGATCCCAGAATTGTGCCCTCCTGATCCCAGTATTGTGCCCTCCTGATCCCAGTATTGTGCCCTCCTGATCCCAGTATTGTGCCCTCCTGATCCCCCTGTACTGTGCCCTCCTGATCCCTGTACTGTGCCCTCCTGATCCCAGAATTGTGCCCTCCTGATCCCCCTGTACTGTGCCCTCCTGATCCCAGAATTGTGCCCTCCTGATCCCAGAATTGTCCCTCCTGACTCCCCCTGAACTGTGCCCTTCTGCTTAAGAAAACCACCCCCAAAGCTACCCCTCTACCCCTCCCCCGTGCCCTTTGTGCTGATTAGTCTTTGATTTATGGTATTTTTTTTTAATGTGTAAAATCAATTTTATGGAAAGTACTAATAAATATGATTCATTCCATCAACTATGTATACTTTAATTCTTGAGAGTAGGTGCATAAATTGGGGCAGGCTGGTAGGGGCCCCAGTGCAGTACTTTGTCCAGGAGCCCATGATGCTCTTAAGATGGCTCTGGGGGGGTGAGCATGCATCCCCCCCAAACCATACCAGGCCACAAGCCCTTAACATGGGGGGGTGCCTTGCCAGGAGAAGCCTCACTGGCAAAGCAGCTAGTTTCCCTATTGATGAGGATAAGGGCCTACTCCCCAGGACCCGGGATTGTGTGTGGGGGTCTGCAGATGGGGGGCTTCTCAGAATCTGGAAGCCCCTTTAACAATAGTGGTTCCCCTTATACAAAGGAGTATGAGATACATAGACCCCCCCTACTCATCCCCAAACGATGTCACCTAGAAACAAACACAAACCTTTCATTATATCATGTAAAGTCCTCGTCGTAACTCCATCATCAGTCGTGGTGACCACCACCTGCCAACGGGCCAATACAGAAACAAAGATGACCTGTCACACATGACTGCCAAATCACAGCTCCCCTGTGCACTGCGTCCCAACATACGACAGCCGGTAGCGGTGACCTCATTGCCCCCTATGGTGTGTGACCATCTCTAGGCAATGACTTAACCCCTCTCCATTCATACATCAGTGGTTGGTAACGACACGACAGGATGCAAGCACTCGCTGCTTCCTTAGCATTGCCGGCAAAGTGGTGACCTCATTGACCAAATCTCTAGGCAATGATTTAACCCTCTCCATTCCCCACCCATTTGCCTAAATGGCCAGGGATTCCCAGCCATGTAAGTGAATGGGCTGGATGACATCAGTGGTTGGTAACGGACATGACAGGTGCAAGCACTCGCTGCTTCCTTAGCAACCCTTGACAGCCGGGATAGGTGACCTCATTGCCCAAATATGGTGATGTGACCCATATCTATGGCAATGATTTAACCCGTTCCATTCCACACCCATTTGCCTAAATGGCCAGGGATTCCCAGCCATGTAAGTGAATGGGCTGGATAACATCAGTGGTTGGCAAGGACATGACAGGTGCAAGCACTCGCTGCTTCCTTAGCAACCTTGACAGCCGGGAGAGTGGTGACCTCATTGCCCAAATATGGTGATGGCCATATGGCAATGATTTAACCCATTCCATTCCCCACCCATTTGCTTAAACGGCCAGGGATTCCCAGCCATGTAAGTGAATGGGCTGGATGACATCAGTGGTTGGTAACGACATGACAAGTGCAAGCACTCGCTGCTTCCTTAGCAACCCTTGACAGCCGGGATAGCGGTGACCTCATTGCCCAAATATGGTGATGTGATTATATTTAGGCAATGATTTAACCCATTCCATTCCACACCCATTTGCTTGAATGGCCAGGGATTCTCCAGCCATGTAGGTGAATGGGCTGGATGACATCAGTGGTTGGCAAGGACATGACAGGTGCAAGCACTCGCAGCTTCCATAGCAACCCTTGACAGTCGGGATAGCGGTGACCTCATTGCCCAAATATGGTGATGTGATTATATTTAGGCAATGATTTAACCTGTTCCATTCCACACCCATTTGCTTGAATGGCCTTGGATTCTCATCCATGTAAGTGAATGGGCTGAATGACATCAGTGGTTGGCAAGGACATGACAGGTGCAAGCACTCGCTGCTTCCTTAGCAACCTTTGACAGCCAGGATAGCGGTGACCTCATTGCCCAAATATGGCCAGTTATTTAACCCACTCCACTCCACACCCATTTGCTAAATGGCCTTGGATTCTCATCCATGTAAGTGAATGGGCTGGATGACATCAGTGGTTGGCAAGGACATGACAGGTGCAAGCACTCGCTGCTTCCTTAGCAACCCGTGACAGCCGGGGAGTGGTGACCTCATTGCCCAAATACGGCCAGTGATGCAATCCACTCATATGTAGTAAACCCAAAAACAAACATTTCTTTTATTGCACCATTTCTTAGATGTGACGGCTTAAATGGTTTTCATTTTTTTAGGCTTTCTTTCCTTTACTTTCATCTGGTGATCCAGCCCAGTAAGTCTGTTGTTTTTCAAAGCTGAACCTGCAGATATAGCACGTAGTGGGATGAGTTGAACCACTTACCACTAACGGGGGTGCTTACAATGATCAGCTTTTATTTATCGATGTCAAAGCTTCATCCCAAATGAAAAAAAAACATCTGTCACTGATTGTAAAGTGTGAGCCGGAGTTTGGCTTCGATTTGTTAGTGTATCTAAATCTGCTAATCCATCTAACACTCCCCCCCCCCCCCCCCCCAGACTGACAGTGCTGCTGCCCATAGGTGCTCCCCCTGTGCTCCTTCCTCCAGAGTGGGGGTGCTCTAATACAGGAGGTGAAAACAGAGGGGGGGGAGAATGCCTAAAATAAAGAAAACGAATGCAGCCGCCACATCTGCACACCGAGTATTCCATCGAGTCTGCTCTTTTTTTTGGGGGGGGCGGGGTTTTTGATCTACCTGTCTGGAAGGAATGTGATTGGTGGTCGATTTACATTTCTTCTTAATAAAGGCTTTCTCAAAAACTGCGCTTTTAGTTCATTTTGGGTGTTTTTGCCGTGAATGTGAATTTCGCATTTTTAATGTTTCCTTTAATCATTCCTAATATTACTTCTCCCAGACAAATGACATTATAAAAACGTTTTTTTTTTGCATTTTTTATGTCCCGCAGGTCATTGCCCCGCCCACTGCGCCATTTATTTTCCCATCCCGAGCCTAACGGCCATGAAAACGGCTCGGAGTGATTTTACAGGTTCAGCTCCCGATGAGTTCAGTCCGGCTGGGATTATCGATGACTCCTTTCCTTCACGCCAATAAAAACATTTCTAATCATATGAGGTTAGGTGTCCCCCCTTACATCAGAGTCCACAGAGTTCCCCCCTTACATCAGAGTCCACAGAGTTCCCTCCTTACATCAGAGTCCACAGAGTTCCCTCCTTACATCAGAGTCCACAGAGTTCCCTCCTTACATCAGAGTCCACAGAGTTCCCTCCTTACATCAGAGTCCACAGAGTTCCCTCCTTACATCAGAGTCCACAGAGTTCCCTCCTTACATCAGAGTCCACAGAGTTCCCTCCTTACATCAGAGTCCACAGAGTTCCCTCCTTACATCAGAGTCCACAGAGTTCCCTCCTTACATCAGAGTCCACAGAGTTCCCTCCTTACATCAGAGTCCACAGAGTTCCCTCCTTACATCAGAGTCCACAGAGTTCCCTCCTTACATCAGAGTCCACAGAGTTCCCTCCATACATCAGAGTCCACAGAGTTCCCTCCTTACATCAGAGTCCACAGAGTTCCCCCTTACATCTGCAGAGTCCACAGAGTTTCCCTCCTTACATCAGAGTCCACAGAGTTCCCTCCTTACATCAGAGTCCACAGAGTTCCCCTTTACATCTGCATCCACAGAGTTCCCCTTTACATCATCCACAGAGTTCCCCCCTTACATCAGAGTCCACAGAGTTCCTCCTTACATCAGAGTCCACAGAGTTCCCTCCTTACATCAGAGTCCACAGAGTTCCCTCCTTTACATCAGAGTCCACAGAGTTCCCTCCTTACATCAGAGTCCACAGAGTTCCCTCCTTACATCAGAGTCCACAGAGTTCCCCTTTACATCTGACAGAGTTCCATCAGAGTCCACAGTTCCCTCCTTACATCAGAGTCCACAGAGTTCCCCTTTACATCAGCATCCACAGAGTTCCCCTTTACATCTGCATCCACAGAGTTCCCCTTTACATCAGAGTCCACAGAGTTCCCCTTTACATCTCCATCCACAGAGTTCCCCTTTACATTTGCATCCACAGAGTTCCCCTTTACAGCTGAATTCACAGAGTTCCCCCTTACATCTGCATCCACAGAGTTCCCCTTTACAGCTGCATCCACAGAGTTCCCCTTTACATTTGCATCCACAGAGTTCCCCTTTACAGCTGAATTCACAGATTCCCCCTTTACATCTGCATCCACAGAGTCCCCCTTTACAGCTGAATCACAGAGTCCCCCTTTACATCTGCATCCACAAAGTTCCCCTTTACATCTGCATCCACAGAGTTCCCCCTTTACATCTGCATCCACAGAGTTCCCCTTTACATCTGCATCCACAGAGTTCCCCTTTACATCTGCATTCCACAAAGTTCCCCTTTTACATCTGCATCCACAGAGTCCCCCTTTACATCTGCATCCACAGAGTTCCCCTTTACATCTGCATCCACAGAGTTCCCCCTTTACATCTGCATCCACAGAGTTCCCCCTTTACAGCTGAATTCCACAGAGTCCCCTTTACATCTGCAT